TGCCTGATCCTGCTTTCTCTCCTGCCGTCTCTGTTCTTCCTCAACCCACCATATCCGTTCAGCCAGGGCTCTACGTCCCTTCACCTCGCCGCCAAGGCAGCCCGAAAGCTGCTGCCCAGTGTGGGGCCAATTTCTGGGCCAGTGCTTTCGGGCTGGTACTGAAACATCACACCAGTATCTCAGAGTCCCTGGAATTTTCGCCCTGGTATGGTTCGGGTAGACACGGACCAAGCTTCTCGGAGAGCCTGAAGAAGGTAGACCTGGTCCGATCCAAACCCTCCTGTCCTCTGGGCTCTGCGGTCCACACCTGTCCCCGCAGACTGGCAACAGCGCGGGTTGTGCCCCACGGCCGGATTCAGGCTGAACGGTTCGAGAGGCGGGGCTGTGACCTTGGTCTCGCCCAGCGGTCTGCACTCACCACCGTGGTCACTGCAGTCCTGTCACCAGACGGTTCCTCCCCCAGCCGAGGCCCCCTGCGCGCTGGCAACTCAAACTCAGCAGGGAGCCCCGGGGGCCCGCACTGGGTACCGACACCCTCCAGGAGACGGGGCTGAGGTCAGTCCTGCGCCACCTGCAGTTGTCCCAGAGAGGCCTCTGGCTGACCGTGGCCGGCCCATATGCTCTGTCCAGGTCCCGGCTGGGTGGTGTCAGAAGAGGCATCGCAGCTGCCCCTAGTACTTGGCAAGCCAGGGCTGACCCTCTTTCCGTTTCCCAAGGGCGGAAGAGGCTTTCCGTCTGTCTTTCCCGGCCTGCATTCCCCAGTCCAGTGTCCACCTCCCTGGCCCCGGGGCATATTGGTGTGGGCACGGGGCAGCCCCGAGCAAAGTGTCCCCGCTGCAGTTAGAGCAGGTACCAGTTGGTTTGTTGTGGATTCCCGGGGCCAGCCACAGCCACGCCCCGGATTCGCGCCTCTCCGATCCCTGGCATAGTCGGGTGTCATCAGGTGCTGCGCCCTTTATCCGAGATGGGGCCAGGGTGGCCCTACAGGGCCCGTTAGCATCTTCCAAAGCCAATCATCGTAACGAAATTTGCCTGGCCCTCAGTCAGAAATCACCCGCTCTATGGCTGGCACCAGACGCTGATACAAAATCCTGGCGGGCTCGCCGGGCCCCGCGGGTACTCGACGAGTGACCTGTCCACGTCTTTTTCTAGACGTCTCCTCCAGCACCTCAGACAGATTCTGTGTATTTGCGGACACGCTTGTGGGGAGAACCTGAGCTGTTAAGTGTCGGAGAAGTCACCCGTCCCTGTCCACGCGTCAAATGACAGGTGTGCTGTGTCGCTGGTTTGCATTTGCCCATCCCTGGGCTCCCTCAGGGCAACCTGCCTTCCACGGGAGACCGCCAGCCCGAGCCAAGCAGCCTTGCCCACCTGCCGACGGGCATCGAGCACGCGCCGCGCCGTTCACGCACACGCCGGTTTTAATTCTTCGACTTTTGGAGGACACGGGCTCATGTGGCATGTTTTGTCCCAGGCTATTTGGGTCTGGATCTCCGTGGCTGGACACGTTAGTTTGAACCCTGAAATGCCACCCTCTCCGTTGCCCCGAGGAACGCTCTCTGAAGAGGGCTCACGTGCAGAGGGGCCCTCCTTCCTCGTGAATTCTTCCCGACCAGGGCTCTGAAGGAGGGGCAGTGGGCCTTCCGGGGTGCACAGGGCCAAGGGGCTGTGGCATCCTCGTCCCTTGCTGAACTTAGATCTTTTAGGAGCTGCAACCTCAAGGCTCCCCAGGCCCGGGAGACGGTTTTCACCATGCCGCGCTCAGCGGGCACCTGTTTCAGGACCACCCCTGCCTCTCCAGGCGTCAGGGAAGTCTGTTTCTCTGGGGTGTCCGTTAATCGAACCTCGGAGCCACCTCCTGGATCCCTCAGAGGGTCTCGCCTCAAACACTCCCTAAGTCCCACAGGAGAGCGGGCACAGGGCCCTATGTGGTCCTGTGACTGCGTGCCCTCCCTCGTCTGTTCCCACCTCAGCCCTCCTGGGAGCCGAGGGTGTATCTCCTGCACGGTCAGCGTCGTAGCAACTGCTTGGTTCCGCCTTGGATGCCCCTCGCGTTTAGTGCGGGAAACAGCTCTGGAACTCAGCATCGGCCTCCAGCCGACCTTGTCCCCACGATTTACACCCGCCTGGAAAGCACGCCGCACCTTCCGATCCAGGCTGGGGCTGCAGGAGCGCCCACCGCCCGACTCCTTGCCGCGCGGCTACTCACGTTCCTGTTTGTCTCTTCGCCCATGCTGGGTGCCAGTGGGCTCGGCCTGCAAGGCGAAGGGACATGGAACCCCCAGTGGACAAGCAGAGAAAGTGAGGATCGGGCATCTCTGACGGTGAACCCAGGCCTCTGGTTTATTCTTTTTATTTTATTTGTTTATTTTTTGAGAGGTTTTTTTTTTTTTTTTTGTGCTATAGGGCGCGTGCGCTCCCCAGAAAGACAGAGACACAGAGACATTAAGAGAGAAATCACCCCCCGTGGGGATGGCCATGCCGCAATCCCTTCTCCTCCATTCTCTCAGGATCTTGGGCACACACGCACACATGCCTGGCATGAGTTTAAGCCACCAGGTCCAGGACTCGAACCTCAGTCGACTACATCGGAGTCCAGCGACATAGCCATTAACGCCAATTGCTGGCCCGGGTTTCTTCTTTCATACAGCGATGGGGCAGGAGCAGCCGAGGGGCGAGCCCGACATTTTCTATGGTGGGGCCAGGGAGCAGCTCGCGGCCGTGGCTCTCGTCTGTCTGTTGGTTCTCAACAAGCCTCCCCCCTGGGCTTCTCCGGCCGCTGCGCCTCCCTTTGCTCCGCACCGACTGTGTCCACTTTAAAGGTCGCTGGTGCCTTGTCCAGATCGGCCACTCCCTGCACGCAGCCACCACCGAAGCCCAGCTAGGGGACAGGGTGTGTCTATACTGAGTCTGTCCAGTCTCCCGAAGTTGCTGTCGCCACCTCAGCCTTCCAAGCACCTGTGACCCTAAGGGGGCACCACCAGGCCCCATCTCCCTGGGTAGGCTGGGATTTTAACCTGGTCTCCCACATGGCCTCAGGCCACCAAGCAGTGGAGTCCAGCGTGCAGCCCCCTGGGCTGGAGGTGCATCTAAGCCTTTCCGAAGGCAGCCCCGCCCACACCTCCTCCCTCGGCCCTGGGCCCCAGGCCTGGCCTCTGCCGCATCTGTCCACTCTGCTCACCAGACCCTCCTGTGGTGAGCCGTCTGCACTGACACACACGCTCTCCTGGAGAGGGCAGCCCAGGGCTCACTCTATCCCCTCACTCTAGCTGCCCTGTCAACAGCTGGCAGGTAGCGGTAGCAGACTCACAGGGTTAGCTCAAGACAGGTGGTCACCCTCAGATCCAGAGGTGACCAGGGACTGGCTGGGCAGACATCTAACAGGGCCATGGGACATGGACTGCAGACAAGGCATCAGGAGATGGGAAGGCCTCCCTGCGGGACCTTGCTGGCAGTCCAGAAGGCCGGACCCACCAGCACTATACCCTTGGGAAGACCCATATGGCTGGCTGTGTGGTTGGAGGCCTGGACCCAGCAGCTCGAAACACACACCAGGTGTGTGCGTGGGTGCCCCAAACCCCAAGAGAATAGAGACTGGTATGGCCATCCCGCGGGTGCCTTCTCAATTCTTCTGGCTGTCTGTCCCTGGTGAATGCACACACTCTATAGCAAATGAAAAAACAAAACACTTTTAAAAACGTACTGGCCCAGGGCCAGTGGTGTAGCTGTTAGTGCTGATTCCCACATGGCCGACTGTGGTTCAAGTCCCAGACCTGGTGGCTTGCTTTCTCTCTTTCTCTCTCTCTCTCTCTCAGGGTGAACATACATATCCCATAACCAACTGTTTTTAAGAAGCGTAATAAAGTAATTTAAATATAAACATATGTATAGGCCGTAAGTCACGTCTCAGCAGCCTGGACCATGGGCACGACTAGTCCCCCTCACAGGGTGACGGGCCCACCCCTCGAAAGGCAGGCAGTGCGGGTGGACGCCGGCTCTGCTTGCCCTGCAGTGCACACACCTGCATGCGAGCAGGTGGGAACTCAAGGGAGCCCACAGCCGCACCTGAGAGAGCCCCAAGGTGGGGGAGCCCTGCTCTTGCTGGGGCTCTGGGCTGAGGGCAAAGCAGTTTCAGGCGGTGGCACGGTCAAGTCGCTTTTCATTCATTCATTCAGTCACGTCCATTTGGTGCTGTTATTTTTTAATTTGACCAGAGAGAGACAGAAAGAAAGGGCACGGGAGGAAACAAGCGGCCAGGACCGGGACTCGGACCGCGGTCTGCCAAGTGGGAGTCCAGCGCCTCTGGCCGCCCCAAGTCTACGATCACGTCCGCACGTGTGGCTCAGCCTCACAGCTCGGGGTGAACTGGGGCCCACGCCGGGCCCAGCAAGGCCGCGTGCGTGCGTCTGAAGACTGAGCGGCGCCAGGAGCCGGTGCCGGCGGCGTGCGTGGGCGGTGACGTCACGGGCCACGCAGCGCACGCACGCTCGGGGAAGCGTCCAGTTCCGGGACGCCCAGAGCCCGAGGAGGGGCAAGGGAGGTGCCGCTCGGTGTCGGAGAGGGCGGAGGGGGGGGGAGGA